TTCTAATGTAAAGCACAAAAGCAAGAAACAAAAAATAAAAGTACAGAAACTATGGAACAGTGAGAGAACTATTCCAACTCAGGCAGTTTTATTCTACCTACCACGTACTTCCTGATGAGGGTGTGGCCACAATAATTCCAAAATTGAAACTCTGCGTAATGTCTAAAACCCTGGTTCTGTTGGAGGTTTGTCTTTTATTTCAGTGGGAGAACCAACTCACAATGAGGATTTTATGGGCTGATCAGGGTGCAATAATTGTCACACTGCTAGCTAGCCAAATTGAATTTACATGTAGTAACGTTTTATTCAGGAATTACAGAGCTTGAGACAATAAATGCATGTAGTTCATGCGCTCAGACACAAAGAGACAAATGCAGTCCTGGAGCTTGGCTGGCATGATACAGGACCTTCGAAGAGTCATGGTCCTTGAAGCAGGTAATATGCTTGCAGCTTTGACATAGTTTGTAGGAGAATTCCATCATGATGCAGTCATGATAAGCATTTGCCAGCAGCAATTCCTTTCGAATATCAAGTCCATTTATAACATATTTGAGTTTCTCAGTGCATTTTAAGTATTTGGTCTCCTTTCCTTGGACTGCATGCTGTGCAATGCTGATGAGTGTTAACTTCCCCTGGCCACACCATTCGCCTTGTCCTGTTCTTTGACTGCTTCTTTGTCCTCTTTGTTATGTCTAAAGCAGTGTTCCCAGCTCCTAAGGTTATAGATCTTCAATAACCAGAAGCTGAATGCCGGCGAGATGTTTACAGACTTGTGGCCTCTGTTTTCAGTGTCTGCACATATTTTCAAGGTCTCTGGTATTATTCCGCACTTAAACTCCACATCATAACAAAAGACACCTGGTACCAAGCTTCAGTTTGCACTGCAAATTCGTACAAGTTGATAACAAGCCTAACATCCCATCAGTTCTGTGGCCTTGCAAGCCTAGCATTAGTTTTATTACTAGCAATGATGGTACCATTTTTACTGGGCTGCCCAGTCAACAGTCACAGGCAGTATAACTCCTTGTGGTGACAGCAAGAATTTGTCTTCGGTAGATTTTCTCTATGTCAGCCCAGCATTTGGACTTAAGATTCCACTAAGTTCTGACTAGCCAAGATCACTAGCATATTTCCCTTTTGCTCTGTGCAGCTTCCTCTTGCAACCCTGTGTATTTTGAATGAGTCTAGAAATGCTGGCGGTTCAGTAATTGTTTAAATTACTTCCACAGGGAAGAAGTGGGAAACTGAGACTGGATAAAGTATTTGGAGGGGGTGGCTGGGATGGTGTGAACAAGACAACTCTGACTGACAACCAGTTGTTAAGGGTTACAGAGGTGGGAAGGAATTCAGAAGGGAAAAGATATAAGGAGAACCTAGAGAAAAGTGAGAGAATAAAAAGGGGCACTTGCTGATAGTGGGTCAGTGAACTGGGGAGAATAGGATTGTTACCGAAATATCAGATCAATAACTCTCTAAGACCAATTTGTAGGTATAAGAAAGCAAGGCACTCTTTTATTGCAGTGCTGGGTGCACACACAAATCACTTTGCAAAGGTAAGTGCACCCAAAAGTACGGAGTGGCATTCTATATACAGTGAAATTATACATATTCATTATTTTCCCTGAGAGGTGTATTTTTTTTCCTGGAACTCAGGAATATATTTACATGTTTACATGTTCCTTCCACATGTGCATTTATGTTGAGTGGTGGTCTTAAGGGGTCCTCTGGTGGTCATTGATAGTCTTCCTTACCGTGTCCGCTGGTTGACCTCACTACTCATGCATGCTTACAGGGGTGTTCTAGATGGCTTGCACATCACCTTTGCTCATTAGGGTCGTTTGTTCTGGTCCTGCTCATTTATCTCCAAAGACAAGGTCCTATTTGTCATATTTATTACCTCTCTGTCTTCAAGTTTCCTTCGCCTCACAGTAGTGCTATCCTCCCGCTATCCTCCAGCTGCACTTATGTAATTCTAGGGATTGCTTCACTTATTCTATTCTCATCATCTATTTCATTCTTTTAGCTTCATTTATTTCATTCTTTTGGCTTAATCTATTTCATTCTTTTAGCTTACAGGATGAAGCCCAAGAGCTGAGGAGTCCAAGAAGCTGGACTGAAAGGAACTTGAAGGAGACTGGTTTCATGAGAAATGCTTCTGGCAACAGCAGCTGAGGGGACTGAGTCATGAAACTCAAAAAGCCTTTCCCTAGTGGGATAAATAACATGACACAAATGGGACTAGGAATAAAGAGTTTGCATGAGAAAAAGGCAGGAGTGAGACAGTGATGGATACAGAACAGATGATGTTAAACTTCTTTTTCCTAAGAAGTCACAGGTGAAGGGTTGTGATCCATTAGAACACATTCAAAATTTGAAAGATCTTGAATTTAAGCAGAGGCCTACCATCAGCCTATTTTCTCCCTTCTTGAACACAACTATAGCCTCTCCTTCAGTTATTTCCTGTGCTGAAGGAGCAGAGATCTGTATGTTCCAACCCTGTGTGTATCACTGGGACACACTACTTTTTGATTTGACAATGCGCATGACTAGGGCTATAAAAACCTCAGAACTGCAGTTTTAAGATTGTTTTTCAATCATAATTTTTGCTTCTTTTTGCATACATAGAACAGTCAGCAAAATATCCCTCCCAAAAGGAATCTTGCCCCAGGCTGTACCAAGTGTAGTGGAGGTGACTGTCTTAAAGTCTATACGTTCTGTGTTTTAGAACATAGCAGGCTGATGGTGATCAAAGTTTTGGGGAAGAGAAAAGCTGGTCCCTAAATTGAGTCAGTTCTAATGCACTCTGTATTTGCTGCCAAGTTGCTGAGTGATACTGAACAAATCACTAAAACAAACTTTTCACATCTAATTGCCAATCTGAATTCTTTATCTTATGGCTGGCTTATTCAAGGGTCTATGATTTAGTTTATGGAAGTGTTGAATTCTTGTAGCTACCAATAAGTAGAAGTGTGCTGAACCAATACAATGTATATAAAGGACTTGGGTCTGTTGAAGCAAGTCCAGAGGAGGGCTGCTAAGATGGTCGGAGGGTTGGAACACCTTTCCTATGAGGACAGGCTGGGCTTGTTCATCCTCGAAAAAGAGAAGGCTCTGGGGAGACCTTATAGCAGCCTTCCAGTACCTGAAGGGGGCCTACAAGAAGGCTGGGGAGGGACTTTCTATGAGTGCCTGCAGTGGCAGGATGAGGGGTAATTTTTGGAAGCTGGGAGAGGGCAGGTTTAGACTAGATACAAGGAAGAAGTTCTTCACCCTGAGGGTGATGAGACACTGGAACAGGTTGCCTAAGGAAGTTGTGGATGCTCCATCCCTGGCAGTGTTCAAGACCAGGTTGGATGGAGACTTGAGCAGCCTGGTCTAGTGGGGGGTGTGCCTGCCATTGCAGGGAGGTTGGAACTAGATGATCTTTGAGGTCTCTTCCAACCGAAACCATTCTATGATTCTATCATTCTTTGATCTCTAAATTGGCATTGGGAATAAATAGACACTGCCCAGTCTAATCTTCTTGTACTTCAGCTCTACTCTGTAGGGGCAGAGGAGGGAGAAGTGTACACTCTGTAACAATTGAGGGCAGAGAGGGGGAGGAGTAATTCTCTCTCACCTTCCTGAAAGGTGTGTAAAAGTAAATTATTACTCTAAAAAGGTTACAGAGTCTTGTAAAAGGCACAAGGGAGAGCCATAGCACAGAAATTAGTAAATCTGTTGTCAGAGTAGCAGCTCAAAAGCATGTGGTGCAGAAAGCCTGGGGTGGCACACAAAACAGTGAGAATAAACAGTGTCATGAGCCGAGTAGTCCCACGTCAGCTTAGCCTGGAGCTGTCAGTCCTGCCTCAGTGGTGCCAGTCTACACCTCAGCCTCCTGGCCTGCCTGGCTTTTCTCCAACAGATCAGAGGGCACAATGAACAACAGCTTCAGGTCCTTACATACACTTCAGGCTTCCAGCCCTTTGGAAAGAAATCCTTGTGCACTGTTGCTCTTGGAGGTGAAGGTCAATTGGGCCTGCTCTTTGTGGACAGATGGTGTTTAAACACCTGTATGGAACAGGCATGGAGGGGAGAGGCTGAGACCATACCACCTACTTCAGAAAAGCACCTGGCATTCTTGAGCCAGCTGAAATGCATATGATAGCTGGCAAAGATGAGATAGTCTGAGAAGCTTAAACTAGCCGTATTTCTGTTCAGCACTCAAAAGATGCTTGTCAGTGTTGCAAGGCAGTACAAAGTAGAATTCTAGCAGATATCTCGCTTATTCTGCATCTTTAGAGTCCTATGTGGCCTTTCAAAATCCTAGTATTTCCTGGTAAAAGTAACATACTTAGGTAGATAACTTAGCAAACAGAAGACAGGATGTATTTCCTGCTAGCAGTTACCTAATAAATTTACTTCTTTGGGAGGCCAGCACGCACAGTCCCTGCTGACACTGTGCCAGATCTTGTTCTTTCCAGTGTTCAATCTGTGCTCCCAACTGTGGGGCAGTACTGATTTTCTCTGACACACTACATATAGCTCTAGTATTTTACTCCAGGCTCTTGAGAAAGGAGGTTCAGAAAAAAGCTTCATTTTATTTTCCTTCTACCTCTTATTTGACCTATTCCGTGTTCTCATGCTAGAACTTTACTGATAGCCCTAGCTGATAGATTGTTTTCCCCTCAACACTTCAATACCTGTAAACCATAATGTACTGTGTTCTAGAAGCTGTATTTTATGACACCATGCATCTCATCAGAACAATTGGTGTCTGAAAGCTCATACTATCATCTCTGCCTTTGATTTGCAAGACTAAATGTGGAAAGATGCAGTTCACAGAAAAGAAACAACATACCAAATCATATGGAAGAACTGCTGAAAGTGGCACTGTAGTTCAAGTGTGATTCTGTGAAAGTTCACAGCGTTAATCCTCAGGTCCCTTGTGGAAAAAAGTTGCCTGTTCTACATGCTCATACCCTACATGGGTGAGCTTAAAGAGATTGTGAACAGAGCCTATGCAAGGACTTGTGGTTATTTCAGAACTCATGATTAGCCTATGTCAGATATATGGCACGCTCCTCAAGAAGGATGACTTCCATGTACAGAATGAGAACCAGGCTTTCCTGGCCCTGATCTAGTAAGTGAAATTCAGGAAAGAAGAAAGATGAACATATTCCAATAAGATTTTTGCCTATATCCACTTACCTGGGGTCTCAATCAACACACTGGTTGCTACCAGCCATAACATGCTGATGCTCAACAGTCATTCTGGCCCTCGGGCTCAGATGGAAATGATTTTGAGTGACAGGAAGCAAGAATGTGCTTGGAGATTGCTTTCTTTTCTAGAGGAAGGGCTTATTAATTGACTCTAATGATTTTAGGAGGCCAGAAAAAGGATATAAGGTTTAATGATGAGGAGTTTGCTTACACTTTTGAGCTTACATATTTTGTTTACACGTGGCTGAAATTGACAGAGATGCCATATAAAGCAGCTGTTCCTAGTGCAGCATTAGCCATTAGTGTCACTGGAGGAGTAGCAGACCAGCTCACTACCTCAAAGACAGCTCAGAGATGTGACATAGAAAACAATTCCTGCATAGAGGTACTGCCTATAGGTTTTTTGGTCTTCCATCATGGTGACCTGTGGAGGAATAATGTACTCCCTTGGGGATTGTGCTGATGCAAAGAAATATGTCTCTAACGCTTGCAAGTACGGTAATGGGAGGAAAGAGAACTGGACTCTGACTGGGAAAATAAGCATGACGATGGATGCTGCTGCCTTGATCACCAAGGGAAAAAAGCCAAGTTAATTTATATTGTGACAAGGCAGCTGAATGAGTACTTGCTATATGTTCAGATGGTAGATTACTTTGACACTCAGACAGGGAAAGTGGTGTAGTACCTCACCTTCTGTATTGAATTCAACCATAAACCTGTTGTCTTTTCAACAGCAGAACATCCTGAGTGTGCACAGCTCCAAAAAAAAAATTTGGATATCAACTTGCAGAAAAAGAAGTGAGCAAATTAATGAACATGGTTGTCATACTACCAAATACCTTCACTTCAGATTTGTTGTATCCAGTGTGCTCAGCTGGAGACCACAAGGAGGTCCCTCCTGTATGGAGGCATTGTTTATGCAGATGAAAGATGACATCAGAAATATTCTCTCAGTCCAAATACCTTCTGACTACAACTGAAAGGAGGGAAATGGGAAAATTCTGGCAGATCCTTCAGAAGTTCTTGACTACTCAGCTTCCCATACAGTCAAACTACCTTCCAAAGTTCTTCTAAAAATTGCAATTAATTTGGAAAGGTGAAAAGAAAAATCCCTGTCAATAAAGAATAACTTGTCACTTGTACCGAAACCTTCTTCACTTGACTTTGTCACCTTGCAACAGTCTGCAGTAAGTTATGATTTCTACTCAGTATGTACATCAAGTGGTTGTCATTCATTTAGGGTCACTTAAACCAATTTGAAAACATCATACTTTGAAAAATAGTTTACAGCAGAAATAGAGTCAGAATGAAAGAGTTATTTGTTTTCTTGCCTGAGCTGTTTCAGATTCTTCTCTGGCATTTGTGACCTGTGTTTGGGCAAGGTGAGATACTCATTCTGCACCTCATGGAATGTTTTTCTGTCTACAAATTAAACCAAGAAAAGGCCACTGCTTTGTTGTTTCTAAGAAAGCCAACAGGAATATAGTTCATGGAAGAAGTTACTACATTAGAAGTTGCAGAGTTTCACCATCAGTGATACTGAAGGACTCAGAGTGCAGTGTGAAGAAGGAGCCTCAGGAATCCAATCTGTAGAACAAATGTATAACAGAGATTGTCCAGAAAACTTGATGGAAAACAATATAGTGAATAATTATTTTATATGCTATTGAAGGCAATTTTTTCACTGAATAGTTCTTACAGTGTTGGGGGAATTTGTAATTTCTGCTGTAAATTAAACAGATCCCTTCAGTTATGTCAGAGAAGGTGAGGCTGAGGTCATAGAACAGAAAGACAGGGGCTTACTACCTGCACAGTTACAATGAGTTTGGTCAGACATGCTAGGAAGTTATCCTCTGTGGAAAACTATTTTTCCTCTCAGGTCAGTTCTGCCAGGCAAGCTGAAAAGTCTTCCTTTGGATGGAAGAACTTGACATGCAGGGCATTCTAAAAGGACAAGAAACTATGAAGTCAAACATACATATTACTGCTCTGCAGAACCAGGACTTTTGTGTTATCTTTCACAAATGAAGAATTCAAAAGATTTTTTTGTGAACTTGTTCTTGAAGATATGAATGACAATTACTCTCTTCCAGTCTTAAGGAACTCTCCCAATGGCCATGACCCTTCAAAGATGATTGAGTGACCTCACAATGACATCAATCATCTTCTTCATTAGCGTTGATGCCAGAAGAGATTAAACAAATTTAATAGACATGGGATTTGGGGCTTCTTACAAGATTCAGCTGTTCTGCATGGTGAGATTTTTTTTCTTCCTGCTAATGAGCCTTTAACCTGAAAAGGGGAATAGATCAGCCGACTTGCAAATGTGTTGCAGAAATGCCTGCAAATAGGTATTTTTTTCTTCTGTCTCTACATATAATTTCTTCTTCCTGATAATTAATGGGGTTTGTACCAAGAATTAAAATGGACCCTTTAAGCACATACTCTGTTGTTACTTATTTCGTATAGCTCTCTAATAACAGCAGAAAAATGTCGACCTTCACCATCTTTATGGAAATGGAACATGCTATTGGCGTAGCTTTTTTCTGTACATTTCCTCTGATTTTGCCTCCTCCTTTCAGAAAAGCAGATGCTTTTAAGAAAATGAATGGCAGTGGCATCAAAAAGCCAGTCCTGATTTTCCTTATGCTTCTAAGGAAATATGATCCATAGGGAGACACATGCTGTTGTTTCACTCTCAGAAAGACACCTATCTCTGTATCTGCATCTAAGTCAGGATTTGTATGCAACTAAATCACACTCCACCTTGGATTAAGAGTGAATTTGGAGCACTGTATTAGGACTGCTGTAAGCAAATGATCCTACCCTTCAGGGGCTCTGCAAACCAGAGAAAAAAGTCTGGAGCAAGGAAGACTTAACCCTGGGTGGAGGAGGACCAGCTTAGGGAGCACTTAAACAATAACACATACAGGTCCCTGGGGCCTGACAGGTTGCACTTAGCTTCACAGTATTGCTTCTTCTGTAATTCATATTATTTCAAGTATCTTGTCCCCATATTTGCAAACCTGCCTCTTTATACCACTCCTCTTGTCATATTACTTCCTACTGCTCTGCTCTGATAGTCTGTCCCTCTGCTCTGTTCATCTTTGTGCAGCTCTGTGCTTCCCTTAGGCATAGAACAATCTCTATCCTCTCTTCAGATTCTATTTGAATACCAAGTACTGCTGTGATGATTACAGATACAGCTGTAATAGCAACAAAAGGTAGCAGCACTGTACCACATGTTTATTAGCTGTAGGTACATTTATTACTTTATCTTCTAATTCTGGGTGTTCTTTGGAAAGCAGCTGTACCTATTATCTTGAGATGTTTGTGTTTAACATGGCAGACACTACCAGCAGTGTTCCTGTTTACTCCATCCAAATTCTTATGGCAACAAATCAGCATGGTAAACTGAAAGCAGTATTGGCTTGCTGTGGTACTGGAGGCCTTGTAGCAGAAGACACACGTTTGTCAATATGTGTATGAAGTAAGGGTGAGACCCTTCAAGACCACTCACCTAGCTGGTGAGTCAGTGCTTCCCAAGGAGTCTCTCTCATGAAACAACTGCCTGGTTTCTGGAGATGAGAACAACATATATTTAAAGGCTAGCCTTTCTTGGGTGTTGTAGCAATAAACTCGTGTCTCCAGTTTGATTGTCTGAATGTGTGAATTGCTCCCTGCTCTTCCAGGGTAGGCAGAGTGGGCAGCTGGCTTATTCAAGCTGTTAGTGTCAATATGAGTTATAGACCCTGGCTTAGCTCTAATTCCAGCCCTGTCAAAACAAGGTGAACAGCTGCAGAGTGTGTCTGTAGTGCAGATGGGCTTAAATTGAAGGACAGTGAAGTGTAAGCATGTTTTCTTTGTGGGTGTTAGTCTCCATAAACCTATTTAGTAGAACTGTTAATTGTAGCTCCAGCTGCCCACGTCACTGTATGCACAGCGATCTCTACAAACCTGCTTTTGGGGAGGTTCCAGGTTGGTGTTAAATGATACACAGCGTTGCTGCTGTGAAACAGACAGATGTTGTGGGCTTTACATGCCTCTCAAACCAGGTTTTTTTGGCTCTTGTAACTTGCAGACGAGTAGCAATCAGACAAAGTAGCTACCATCATTCAGATATAGGAGTCTACTTATAAAATACTAGGTTCTCATTACTGAAAAGCCAAGTTTTTTCTGACTTCTGTCTGTTACTTGAAAGTCTCTAGCCACAGCAGTTTGAGACAACCTCTTAATTGATTTCAATGGACCTGGACCAGACCATAGTCATGTGTGCTTGCCTTCTAATTGCTGTTAGCTGTTGGCTCTCATGCAATGAATTTCTAGTTAGAGAGATTTCCTGAGATGTGGTTCATGTTCACATGTCAGTTGTAAAATACCTCTCTCATCTGCATGCTTCCACACAGTTGGAAGGACTTGCATTTAACTTTCCTGTTCTGGAAACACCTGTTCTACTAAATATTTAATTTTGTAAATAAAAAACATTCTGAAGGAGTCAGTAAAAATCCCACTATGCTGTTGCAATGATTTCCTTAATGTTGGAAAAGCAGAACTGCAATCCCATATTTTAAAAAAAGCTTGAAAACATCTTTTTAAACTACTTTTAAAACAGATCTCAGTACATTTAGAAATTGCAATTACATGTCTTCCTCTTTCAAAAAATGAAGAGAAACAAACAGAACCACCCTGAAAGTCTTTTGCAGTCCGATTGCCTTTTAGTCTTTCCATGAAGGTTTAATTATGTCATATTCCTGTAATAATTTCTTCTTCTCAGTGTTACACATCAACAAACCACTATGGATGAATTAGGAAGGGTACTACTCTTATGTTCTGTAGTGGTCTCTAAGCAGTGACATCTGCCTTTAGAAAAGGCGGTATCTTGAATTCTTTTGCAGAGTAGGAAACCAGGGAAAAATAGTAACTTTGATGGTGCAAAAGTATTTCACGATGCACCTGAATTATAGATAGCATATAAGTTTTGGAATTCATCATCAAAACAGATCTAATGACTTGCTGTATTTTCCTTTGCGTTGAAAGCCAGTAACATTAAGTTACCCATTCTGATGGAACAGATAACAATTTTCTTGGGCCATTTGCAAACTTGTAATTCTGCTTATAATTCATATTCCTTTGTCCCTATTCTGCAATTTTAAGACAAGCAAGTAACCATATTTGCTTTTCATTTCAAATCACAATATTCTATTTGTCTTTGTGGCATTAAGTTGTCAGAAATCCCCCACAGGGCTGAGAGGCAGTGGAAGAGCAAAAGAGGAAGTTGCTAGGTTGTCATCCAAAATTCACTATTCACAGTTAAAGGGAAGCAGTGAGATGTTCCACTTTTATTTACATATAAGGAAAGTAGTGATGCAAATGCACATGGGACTGTGTTAGAAGAAATTAGGGGACAGTCATCAAGTTTCTGTGACAGCATGGCATAGACGACACGATGGTGTTTCATTTTTATAGTCTCCTGTTGCGAATTATGGGCCTACTTACTGCTGTTATTCTTAATTCTTTAGTTTTCCAGTGGCTGCTGGAGATTATTTAAAATGAAAATACTTTGCTGCGTTTCTCCTAGAAGACAAAATTCAGGGAAGTCTAGCCTCCTGCCATGCCAGCTTCTAAGCCTTCACGCAGAAACCAGGCACATGTTTTAATTGACTTAAGTGAGGTGAAGGGAGCTTTCTGTCATATGGCATGAGTTTGCATGTTTGTTTTTCCATAGCAAATGATGCTCACAGTGGGGAAAAGTTTAATTCAACATGCAGTTTATCTCACACTGTTAAATTCACACGGGAAACAACTAACTTACAGAGTTAACATTTCTCTGAATTTGGCCACCTTCTGAAACATGTTTGAATGGGATTATAACATAAACCTGGATGGCATACCTCTAATATACCATGAAAGATACACGTGGACTTACAGGCAACGTGTAAGTGGAATTTAACAAGTACCTCTTGCAGCAACTGCACTAAAGAGCTACAAGCATAATTTTCTCCTTTCTACATCATTTTTCCCTCTCCTTACTCTCTGCCGTCCCAATAAACTACTTGCAGAGCTGTATGATAAACGAGATACAGAAACTCATCAAAG